AGGTAAACATCTTTCTGATATTCTCTGCTTTCAGCCAAGATCCACCGGACATCAGCAATGATATCTCTCATTTCCCCCGCCTCTTCTGAATCCAGCTTGAACCTCTGGAAGTTCTCTGTCAATGTAGGATTGTAGCCGTTTCTATATGACCTTTAGCAAAACTTTACTGGATTGAGATATTAAAGAGCTTGTCCGATGATTTCCACATTCCGTTGGGTCACCTTAATTCTTATGGTTCCCAGCAGCCTTCTTCCATCCTGCTACCTGTACCTTGGCTTGGACTGCACCAGGCATCTGGTTTCTCTTCTGACTTCCCGCGTCTCCTCTGATTTATTGCATCTCCTCTGATTTCCTGCATCACCTCTGACTTCCTGCGTCTCCTCTGACTTCCTGCGTCTCCTCTGACTTCCTGCATCTCCTGTGACTTCCTGTATCACCTCTGACTTCCTGTGTCTCCTCTGACTTCCTGGGTCTCTTTTGTGGTTCTTCTATAAACTGGTTGCCGTCAGGTGGTTACAACTCACAGTAACACTACAGACCAGAATAGAATTGTCCCCTAGCGTTCCAAGGCTGTAGCCTTTATAGAGACACATGGCCACAGCTTTCCGCAGAGCAGCTGGTGGGTCTGAATTGCCGACCTTTCTGTTTGCACTGAGTGTTTAACCAATGTGCCACCAGGGCTCCTTTGCAATTTAGTAATTCCTTTAAGACTTAAGCCAGATGTCTTACTCCCATGCTCCAAGTCTGCTAATGATTTCCTGTGGCATTTGGAAGGAGACCCCAAGTCCTCTTCCCACCTACAAGGCCACTGTGATGTGGTTTCTCTCTGAAACCTCACCTTGGACCTACTCTGCTTACTCACACCCTCTGGTCACTTTTGGATTCTCCAGGCCTGCCCGGGTGCCACAGCCTTTTCACTCACAGTTCTCAGTTGAGAATGTTCTCTCTCCCCAAATCGTTGCATGACTTACTCCCTAAAGCTATAGCTAGTCAGAGATCCTCCCAGACCACATGTACCCATCCTTCCCCGTTCCATGCTGTCTCTCAGAACCTTTAACCTGCTGTCTTTGTCACTATGCAGCCTTATATTACAAATCTACTAGAAGTTATTTATTAAAATAACTGTTCTGTCAAGAGAATGAAAGGCTGTCTTTGTGGGCCACTGCTGTATCTCCCCAGCACAATGCCTGACAAATGTAACTGATCATGACATGCTTTTTGAATGAATGAATGAATACTTATTCAGGCTGAGGACCGCCATTTTTGTTGACATTCTTATGCTCTGTCAACATGTGAGGCAATTTATGAGCTTTAGTTCACTGGATTTTCATACTGACCTTGGGAGGTAGGGACTCATAATTTCATTTTATAAATAAGGAATCTCAGACTCAAAAAATCCAAGGAAGACCACACAGCTAGCAATGGGCAGAGTCAGTTTTGATGCCAAATCTGCCCGCTGCCTGAGCCCAAGCACCATCTTGGCTCAGCACCACTTTCTGGCACGACTTGGATCTTCTAATTGGCCTCTGCGTATGTTTTCTGATCATTATTGTCATCCCAGACCTGGCCTCTTCATTATCAATGACTCTCATTCATTTTAATAGCTCATCCTGCTTTCTTTTATACTTACACATTATGCTTTGCCAAACAAGAACTCCAATAGTTCTCGTCACACATCAGCGAGGAAGCTGGGATAAAGCGTGGTGGGCCTATACCTCCATCTGTTAATGTGTTTTCTTCCTGGCTGACTGGCTTGGATTAAGTTGGCACTGAGGGGTCTTTGCTCCAAACCCAGCTCACAGCGCACAACGAAGCTGCTTCTTAGGAACTATTTAGCTAAAGATGCTGTGTTCCATATTCGTGATGAAATGCAAATTTCCATGTTCATGAGGGCAACTAGTAGCCTGGTACTTGGAACAGAATTCCAGCTGGATAAATTTAGTGTCCTGAAAAAACTCCAAACCAAGACTCTTTTCTGGTAAGTGCCCACAACATTTTCATGTGATGGCAGACTAGAGATGTTTTTTCCACTCGTTTGTCCTGGCCACTCTAGAATCTTTTCTTCTGAGCTGCCCGTGAGCCAATGGCTCTGCCGCCTCTGTGCTGCCTACACCAGGTAAGTTATTTATTTCATCCCAAGTACTTCTAAGGGTGAGCATTGGACTCCTAATGCCAGTTTGGGCAGCTGGATGGCTTTGTTTGGTCTTTTCCAACCCTGGACTCCCATGCTCTCACTGAGAACCTGTCTAAGATGAGGGCTTGAAAACGTTCTCCCCTTCTGTTTTTGGCCTTCCTGTTCTGTCTGGGATTGGTGTAAATGCTTACTCTTAGGATTTGCCCCCTTGCCAACTTTTCCAATTCACCTCCCTCCCAAGCTTCCAGGGTTGGCATGGTCTTCTTCCTGTCCCTCCCACTTGTTACTCCTGTTGCTTTGGGAGAATGACAATAGCACCACTGGACACTGAGCTGGGCCCTGCTCTGAATATTGGACAAGAGTCACTCCTGGGCTCTTTAAGCAACCTTATGTAACAGGCCTCATTCTACAGCGGGAGGGGGATGGAAATTCACACAGCGAAAGGGAGCTGCGATGCAGCCTGACTTCACTGTGCATGAAGTCAGTGGGCTTAATGTGAAGGACAGGGTCTTTGGGCAAAACAGATTTACACGCACACCTCTACCCTACCTTTGCCAAGTCATGGCTCAGACAGTCATGTTCACCTGTCACATGGAGATGAGTTCATTCCTGAGTCTTTGAAGAGCTTTTAAGGATAAAATGTGGCCCTGCCCAACAATGAACCTGGTCCCACGAATGCTCTGGTCCTTCCTGTACTGATGTGAATGGTAGCCCCCACATGGGACCCTCTTCATAGACCCAGATCTCAGGGAGTGGACTCGGCCCAGGGATGCAGATGGACGGGCAGAGACACAGTATGGGTGCTGCAAGGTGTCCAGGACTGGCCTCTGGGGCTGGCCATGCCTTTGTGGGGGTAGACCCCAGGAGGGGAAAAGGAATGAAGGTATCAGCAAGTGCCCCCAGTTCTAGAACTCACAGAACTGATGATTAGCTGCAGAGATGGGGTCATCCTGGATTCCCAGCCAGCCCACTCAGCCTCGTCCCAAGGGCAGTCTATGCGCCCCACTGTGTGGCCACTGGGCTCCACTGCCATGTCCTAACTTGTCTAGAGCAAGAGGACAAACCTGGGCTCACCGAGCCCCAGAGAGCTTGTTGTAAAGAGAGGGCTTTGGTTGTTAAACTGGTGAGTCCTCAACACACTCTTACAACATTCTTCTCTCTCTCACACACACACACACAGACGTGTGCATGTGTGAACCTAACCCGAAGTCCACATGCATCACAATGTGGGTCAAACCTCCACCCTCCCCAAGAGGACCTAAGCCTGCTCAGAAGAGAAACTCAAAGATATTGGCCCAAAGAAAGTAACAAAACAAAAAACCAAACTTTACTTGCATTTAGCATTAATAAATAATTTACAGTATGTACATGCGGTGACAACTGCACACGGGTTAGATGCATGGATTCAGTGAGGGGTCCTCACTTCCAAGCAGAACACGACCAAACACAACCAAAATAAAGTGCTTCACTTTTTACTTCCAACATAGGGGCAATCTAAGAACCAGCAGGAAGGGGCCAGGGCCGAGTCCCCTCCTGCCCAGACCACGCACTTTTGGCAGAGAGAACGGGACCTCTCGGGGCTAGGGTGAGGAGACGCATGTTCCGCAGCCTCCGGGGCCAGTGTATGTGAGGTCCCTGGGGAACAGAAGAGGGGCTGCCTGGGAACACACACAGTGCGGGGCTGCAGATGTCTAGGGCTGGTCCAACTATGGGGAGCAGAGCCCAGGCCTTCACTGCCCAGGGGTCTCAGAACAACAGCAGGACTAGGGCTCCTGACTGTGTGTTCACAGAACTTAGGGATGGGACCTCTTTCCATGAAGAAGAGAGAGGAGACCCTGCTCCCCTCCTCAGGCTCCAGACACAGGGGGTGGAGGGCAGGCGAGGAGAGGGCAGAGAATCAGGGCAGGCCAGCTGGCCCTGTCCAGTGTCTCCTGCTCCTGCCCAGGGGCTCTGCTGGAGAGGAAGAAACAGTCAACGGGGTCTCTTCTCCATTTAAACACTTAGAACCAAGGGCTGATTTTCAACGCACGGCGGGGTGGGTGGAGGGAAGGGCCAGAGAAAAGTATCTGACCGGCACAGTTGTTGTCTCTCCAGCAGGGGTTTCCGGTGGGTGGGCAGATGTGTGGTCGAGGTCAGGAAGGCACCAGCTTGTGGCCAGCAGATCCCAATTTGTTAAAGAGGCTGAGGGGCACCCTGGGAGTCGCCAATGGCCCTACCAGGGATGGGTGTTCACTGATGCCTCAGCCCCACTCAGCCCTCGGGCGGCGGGGCAGGTGGGGTGTCTTTTATGAATCAGGGCGTGTGAGTTGAGTGTGCTTTTGTGGGGTGTGTGCATGCAGTGGGCACAGGGAGCTCCACGGTCCAGCCTGCTTCAGTGCATTTCAGGGAAGTGGGGAAGACAGACTCCGATGGTCCCAGTGTCTCTCTGGGGCGTGGGGAGGGAGGCGCTGGGCCTGGGGGCTTGGGTTTACACATTCACACTGTGGGGGTGGGGGGAAGGGGAGCTGCTCTCCCTCTCACTCATCTCTAAAGTCACAGACATCACAAAACCAGCCACCACAACCTTGTCACGTGCACTAAGCGAGAGGGGCTGAGGGGATGTCCCATGCCCTGAGTCTTTGCCAGCAGGCCGGCAGGCCGAAGCAGCTCTGAGGTATAACTGTCCCACAGCCCACTGGGTTAGTGGTTGCCTCCGATCGCCAGGTCCCACGGAGACTGCTTGGCTGCAGGAAATACCTGCCATTCCGTACCTGCTGGCCGGCACCTTGGACCAAGAGACCAGGGTGCAGGAACCTGCACATCCTACAAGAACACGGTGGGCAGGGCAAAGAGGAGGGCACTGAGGAGGGGCTGGGGGGCCAGGGTCAGTGATGCAGCGGCCGCCTGGCCTGGCAGCTCCCGAGTCCTTCCATACAGATGGAGTCTGTCTTTGTTGGAGTGCAGCATCTTAACGTCTTCCAAGGCGTAGTAGGCAGCCAGCGTGAAGTTCACGTCGCCCGTGGTGAGCAGGTCGAACACGCACGCCTGGTAATAGAGATCCTCCACTGGTAGCTTCTCCTTGCACTTGGCCACCGCCGTCTCGTAGGGGAAGGTCTCCGGGGCCAGGGGTGCGGGGCTGGAGGCTGCGGGCCTGCGGGCCCCATGGCCCTCGGTGGCAGCGGCCTGAATGGCCTGAAAGTCAATCTGCTGGTTGAGGGGGCAGCCCCGCAGGCAGAGGTAGAGGCCCTGGCTGTCCCGGTCCTCCACGGCAGTGACCACCTCCTCAGGCATGCGGATGGCGAAGGTTAGGTAGCGGCCCACCTGGCGCACCACGATGGTGGTACCGATGTATTTAGCCTGAATCTCCACATGCTGGCCTGACACCTTCTCCGTGATCCTCAGGCTGTTAGCTCCATGCTTGTCCCCACCGTTCTTGGAGCCGTCGGCAAAAGCAGCTGGGAGCTCGTCCATCTCGGCCTGGTACACCTTCTGGTCCACACACTCCTGGAAGTTCTTGAAGATGATGGTGAGCTGTGGGGAGGGAACAGGAGAGGGGGTTAGGTGATGCCAACAATGTAGAGCGGGAGGGTCCCCCATGGCTCCTTCTCTGAATATCCTCAAGATATTCAGGACTAGAGGACGTACGATTGTGGTCACAGACTTAACAGAGACACTCAGTTGTGACAATAGTTATGCGCTTGACAACTAACAGAACCAACCCAGAGGCACTTCAGAAGAAAGATTTGGTGATGTTTTCCGAGGGGTCACAGCCTTGAAAACCCTATGGAACACAGTTCTACTCTTGCACACAACGCATCTCTTGAGTTGCAACTGACTGAATGGTAACTGCCTTAGTTGGTTTTTAACACTGTTCTTTACAACAACTTGCTATTTTTACTTAGAAAAAATTCCTTAGAAAGGAAAACCTTAGATCACAACTGTAATAGAAAACCAACCTTATTTATTTTACACATAAGGAAACCATGAAAATAAAAACACAGCTAATTAAAAAACCCACTGGTCTACATACACGGTGGGCTGACTAATGGCCTCAAAGACACCCAGTCCTAATCCGTGGAATTTATGACTATTTCTTTATATGGGAAAAGGTACTTTGCAGACGTGATTAAGTTAAGGATCGTGAGCTGAAGCAAAGTGACTAAGAACAGAAGGTCACAGAAGCTAGAAGGCAGGCAGGTTTCCTGCCTAGAGACTCCGGAAAGAAACCTGCCCTGCTGACACCTTGATTTGAGCCTCATTTCAGATCTCTCCTCCAGAATTATTTGTCATTGTTAGCTATGGTGCTGTAGGTTAATGCGCTGGACTACAAAGTCGATTTGAATTGCTAGGTCGGTGGTTCAAGCTCACCAACCACTCCTTGGAAATCCTTTACAGGGTCACTATGGGTCGGAACCGACTCAATGGCACCTCACAACAACCCTTGAGTCAGACCCTGATTTACGGTAATGCCATGCACAGCAGAACCTAAGTTGTCTTGAGCCATCCTCAGGATGGGCTGTGGGCTGGACCATTGTGATCTACAGAATTCCTGCTGATTTTTGGAACTGGATCTCCAGGACTTCGCTCCTAGTCACAGGTTGGAAGTGCTGCTGAAACCTGTTCAGAATCACAGCACCACACACACCTGCCCTGACAGAGGCGTAGGCTATGCATGAGGGACACTGGCTGCTAACGGGACTCAGCTCTCCTGCGGGGAGGGGAACACTCGACCGCAAAACGCTAGGAGGAAAAGCTGTTGTTTTAAACCACTGTCTGTGATCACCACTAAGCTCAGGTAGCGTAGTGGTTATGAGTCGGGCTGCCAACCTCAGCGTCAGCAGTTCGAAACTACCAGATGTTCCACGGGAGAAAGATGAGGCTTTCTGCTCCCGTAAAGATTTACAGCCATGGAAGCTCTCTGCGGGGTCATTATGAGTTGGAAGAGACTCCACGGCACATCACCACCACCACCAAGTCAGTGATCACGGGTTCCAGGTAGGAGAAATCAAGACCAAACAAAGCGCAGCTCTGATGGGGGATGGGCAGCAGGAAGCACGACAGACAGAGCTCACCTCAGGCTTGAGGGTCCAGGTAAAGGCTGGTCACAGGGGACAGGCCTACAGACCGGGGACAGTGCCCTGCTGACGTTCAGGGTGGCTGAGGGAACTGCCCTGTCTCCAGGGACTCAGAGGCTGAGACCTCAGGAAAAGGACAAGAATGGGACTACAGAGACATTCTAGTATGAGCGGGTAATGAGTCTGGCTGGGCCCCCACATCAGAGCAGAGCTTAGGGGTGACCAGGCGGTGAGTGCTGGCAGGCGAGGGGGCCTTGCACACGAGGAACCAGAGATCTTCAGAATGGCTGAGCAAGCAAGAGACTCGAGTCAGGCTTCTGAGGAAGGAGTCAGCAGGGGACAGGGCTGCAGTAGGACTTTGGGGAGTTTCAGGCATTTTTGACTTAATGGCCATAGAAATATTAACTATTGCCCGAGTTGGAATGCTATTAGTTTTTTTCCTCTGGATTTCAACAGACATGACATTTTGGAGCCCCTCAGTGTCTTGTGGCTCTTGGTGCAGCAACCGGATGCGGGGGCTGTCCTGGAGCTGGGCATGTTCTGCTGGCTGAATGACAGCATCATGGCATTGAGGGGGGGCTGGCTCTGAAGCCTGCAGCTGCAGAAGGGGACCAAGCACTCAACTGGGAGGCCGGAACATGCCTTGAGCACAGACTCCATTTCCTGGTCCCTGCCCTCCTCATAGATCCCGGTTCCAGGGAACTGCTCGAAGGTGTGCGGAGGTGGGCTGTCTCTCCACCCAGCCTGCAGTCCTAAGTACTGCACCACATGAATTTGTCACTATCTCTGACAGACAAAAGAGGCAGCTCCAAACAAATCACAAATCAACGTCCTGCTTCCTCCCCAGTCCCGTTCCCCGTACCCCCTAGGCCTGATGTGGGGCTGCCTGCAGGAGGGAGGGGGCTGGGAGGTGGGTGGTCCTGTCACTAAAGGTGGGGGGGAGAAGAGAAGCAAGACTCTGGTGTGCTGTTGAGCAGGGCCACACAGACAAGGGGTGGGGGTGGGAATGGAGGGTCCTGCTTTCCAAGCCTGAACAGGAAAGGCTGGTTTTGACTAACCGCCATGGCTGTGGAGACAGCTTTCTGGAAAGCTAGCCTGGCACCCGTGCCAGGGAATCAACCACAAGTACCAGCACGCAGGGGGCCTGTCGAAAAGCAGGTGGCACGCTGCCGACCGGTCCGCAGGTGTGGCCCCCGCCCCTGCATGAGCTCCCCCAAGGGGCTCACTGTCATCTGCCAGGTGAGGACCCTCTCCAATGAGCTGAAACCCAATGCCCTGGTGCTGTACCGGAGTCAAGAGACACCCCAGGGAACAGGGCAGTCCCTTCATGGAGCTCCCAGGCCAGGAGCACCAGGGTGTGGAAATGCTTCGGGGAAATGGGCAGGGCAGAGCAAGTCCAGGGCCACGCACGGCTGTGATGGGCTTCCTCTTGCTAGCCCAGAACCCATGGGCTCTGGTGGTCAGACTAGGGGTGTGCTGTGGAGGACGGTGTCCCACTGCCTGGACCCTGGAGCCTCTTCTGGTAGAATCTGGATATGGGGACAAGGGTTCCTCCCTCAGAAGTAGACGGTCGGGAGCCCTAGAAAATCCCCATTGCCTAGGTTATATGGGCCATGCACGAGTATGTGTGTCTACACAAGGGGTCTCTGGGTAGTGTCAACAGTTACTGCACTCGGCTGTTAAGGAAAGGTGGAGTCCATCCATAGCAATCTACTGGGAAAGCCACCACTGAAGGCCCACGAAGGGCAGCTCTACTGACCTGCAAGACACACCACAAGTTGGGAGGCACTCTATGGCAACTGGTTGGTTTGGAATACACATGTATCACACACATACACACATATCCACACATATCTACACATACATGCACACACATGTATATACCTACACACGCATGGTTGGTGGTTATGTGCCGTGGAGTCAGTTACAACTCATAGCGACCCTTTATAGGGGTTCTGAGGATCGGCTGGTGAGTTTGAATGGCTGATCCTGTGGTTCAAACAGACCTTGAGGTCGAGTGCTTATCCCATGGCACCACACAAGGAGTCTGTATGCACATGCCTACTGTGTATCAGACTCATTCATTCCCTAAGACATTTACCCTTACTCTGTATAACGGGCCCACATGTTACCTTTCCTGTCTACTCTATGCTATGCAGTTTTAAAACCATGTCCTTGAATTGATTCCAGCTCCTGGCGACCTCGTGAGCTTCAGTGTAGAACTGTATACTCCGTAGGGGTTTCAAGGTTGTGACTTTTCAGAAGTGAACTGCCAGAATTTTCTTCTGAGGTGCCTGTGAGAAGATTCAAACCACTAACCTTTCCGTTAGTAGCCAAGTGCTAAGCTCCTAGGCTATGTGGTGTTATTCAAACAAACACACACACACACAGGCTTGTGGCACAGAATACTGATTGTACAGTCCGTTAGTGGCTGTGTCCGGTAAACTGGAAAACACCACACTAGGCATTAAGTCGAGGAGGCTCCAGGATGGTTTGCCTCAAGACAGCATTTCCAGAACATTCTTTTTAAAACGATCCGTCTGTTTACAGAGAAATACGAGCAGGATGGCTGCAGGCGGCATATGGGAGCCGTGCGTGGGCCTAGGTGACAGCAGGCTTAGGTGGCGCAGCCTGAGGGCTGTCCTGAGGCGTCCTGACCCTTACCTTGCTGGTGGCGGTGGCGGCAGAGCCTGGTAGCACGGGTGTGTTGGTGACCTGCACATTCAGGTAATTGTTGTCAATGAGGGGCCAGGCGCCCTGCACCTTGCAGGTCTGGAAGCGGTCTGTGAAAGTCCTGAGGTGCGGGTCTCCGAAGAGGCCACAGTGCGTGTAATTGGGGGCGGCCAAGTGCTTGTGAAAGCTCTTCTCATAGTGGCAGATCTCGGGGCTGTCGGACCGCTCCTGGCTATCCCCAGCCGGCGGGAGCGTGCGCAGGCGTGGCTGCGAGGTGGGGCCATCCTTGGAGCAGTTGTGTTGGCTCATGAGGTCTTCTATGCCATGGACAGCTGAGTGGTAGGCCAGGTCTCCCCGGCAGGTACGGGCCGTGCGCCTTGTGCAGTAGGCGTAGGCACGCAGGGCGGTGCAGAACTCAGGGGCGTCCTCCGAGTGACTACCCGACGTGGCACTCCAAAAATCAGAGTTGCACTTGAGGATCTTGCACGGCACGGTGGCTGTGGAGAGAGGAACGGACACAGCGTTAGGGCAGGGCCCGGGGCCCCCAGCTTCTGTACCCCTCTGCGGTCTAGGTGTGCAAGCAAGCATGGGGCAAGGGTCCTGATCTCATCAAAGACAATGCGATCCACACTGCAGGTCTGCACATTGGTGGTGAGAAGTTTCTGGAAGGTGAATGGCAGGTGCCCCCCCCCTTCTCTAACAACACAAAAGTGATGAAGGACTGGCGGTATTCCTCACCTGCAAGGAAGAGGAAAGAACTTCTAGGTAGGCTGGCTGAGGGAGCTAACAGGCCACCCTCAGGTGCTGGATATCTGTCCATACTTTTGGGGCCATCCCCAAGGATTTGGGCAAAACCAACAGACTTCTGGCTCAGCACCTAGGCCCCATTATCATGTACACGTTCCCAGCTCTGTCCTGGTGTGACCTGGTGCTAATTAAACTCTGTGCCTTGTTATATGCATTTGGAACATGGGATGAGGTATCACAGAGGGCTGTTGGGTATTAAATTAGTCATCACTAAAGGACAGTGAAAGCTTAATGCACGTCAGCTATTATGATCCCTGTACTGGCACTTGTCACCGAGGGTCGGGCCAGTCACCTCCTCTGTGGAGCACGGCGTTCTGTTTTGTTCCTGCGGCTCTCTAACCTGCTCTGGAAAGCAAACTGGCAAACTGAGTGATGACCTTGGATCTGCTCTAATTCATCCTTTTTAAAAACAGTAATTCGTAAACTTTGAGACCTTAGTGATAATTAGCCAACATGGCACAGCCAAGGAGAGTGGCTTTAACAGAAAACCTTGTTCCTTGACATATGGAAGCTGCCCTTCTCTGGAACTCTGAATTCTGCCAACAGCCCATAATGACTACAGTGGTCAGCATACAGATGGGCAGCAGGAAGGGAGTTTCTGGACAGATTTAGGAGCAAAGGGGCTGGGGGACCACAACCCTCACCACTACTGGCTGAGGCACATGGCTTGTGATGTAGGACCAGGCAGTTTACTTCTCTGGCACTGGGTTTTTGCGTGTACAAATGAGTTAAGAGTGAAGCCAGGGGCAGACTCATTTGAGGGCAGGCCAAGGAGACACCGGAGTACCTTACCACCCAATGGCTGCCCTGCATGGGTCCTCCTGTGCTCCCTGGCCTCCATAGGTGGACAGACAATGCTCTCGGACAGAACTGCAAGGAGCAGAGGTGCCAGCCTGCGTCATGCAACCTTGGGCCTTGGTGTGCAATCCAGGCTCCCCCACTATACCTGCATCCCCACAAATGCATCTTGTCTCACTAACAAATGCTGCTAAATACAGTCACTTCAGGTGATTTCTGGTGAATTTGTATGTTTTAAATTTGAGAAGTTATAATATTTACTTAAATCATATTACAAAATAGCTAGGATAGGCAAATACATAGAAATGAAAGTTTACTGGTAGTTACCAGGGGTTTGGGGTGGCTCTGTAGGGAGCACTCAGTTTGAGGTGATGAAAGCATTTGGAAATTGGTTGAGGTGATCACAGTTGTATGGTGAATGTAATTACCATCACTTAAAAAAGGTGAGAATTAATGTTTAGTTATGTGTCTTACCACAATGAAATCACATACACACACATACTTAAGTGAGACTAGCTGGAAATGATTGACTAGCCAAGTCGATCATTGTGGGGTCTGGGTGGCGGGTTATCTTGAGGACGATTAGACCATTCTGTAACAGCTTCTGAAATTCTCTGTAATCAATTCAAAAAACTCCAAACAGCACGGATTCGGCTCGTGGCACTACTTGTCACACGTCCGAGCTACCCAACACGAGGAATGTGTATCAGAAACAAGCAGAGGGGACGGAAGGGTCACCGGGAGACAGCACTGCAGGGCACGTGTGGGGGGCGTGGATGGGATACACTGAGCGTCCCCCAGAGGCTACTACGACAAGATCTTCCTGCCCTGGGTCTTCCTGGCTCCTCAGCCAGAAGGTGGCCTCTCAGGGTGGATGGGGATGTGGTGGTACAGTGTGTGTGTGTCAGTGAAGTGAGTGGGTGTTGTGCAGAATTTGTTGTTGTTAAGTGCTGTCGAGTCGGTTCCGACCCATAGCGACCCTGAACAGGGTTTCCAAGGCTGGAAATCTTTATGGGAGCAGAAAGCCTCATCTTTCTCCCATGGAACCGCTGGCGGTTTCGAACTGCTGACCTTGAGGTTCACAGCCCGATTCGTAACCACTACGCTACCGGAGCTCCTTAAAGATAAACAGACCCTTAAAGATTACAGCCTAGGGTATGGGAGGGGCATTTCTGCCGTCACACTGGGGGCACCATGAGTGGAAAAACGCCTCGATGGCACACAACAGAGACTTTCTGCTACGGCTACCACCCTCATCTCTGGTACCAGCGGTCTCCACACAGTGCCCACCCAGAGACCCTCATTAATGTGCCAACCAACCGGGACTCTGCTTTCTCAGGAATCAATCAAAGAATCACCCTGGGAGGGACACAGGCTGGCCTCCTCGGCTCTGCCCACAACCTACCAGCAGGGGGAGCACTGCTCACATCCTGATTCGGGCCCAACTCCAGCCTTTACCAGGAGCCAGGACAGAGACAGAGACAGGGACAGAGACAGGGACAGGACTTGGCTGTTCCTTTGCATCTGAACTCCCTGCAACACCATCAGGAGCTGACCTGGGCTTCCAACTCCCCCAGAGGCAACGTGAGGGTCACTAAATGTGTGCCCTAGCTCTCTCAGTCTCCTCCAGTCACAACAATGGTAGTGGGCTAACTTTCTTCCCCAAGGCCTCACTTCTAGTGGGAAGGAGAGGAATCCAGGATTCAAACCAGCCCCAGGGATGGAAAGCAAGACCAATCTTGAAGCATTTCCAATTCCCTCAGCCACTGCCCTGTGGTTCCAGGTGAGCTGGGCCTCTTCCTGGGACCACATGGCCGTGGTGTCTCGGGCCCTGACTAGAAGCCTAGTTCTTGCTTTCAGGGTGGACAAAGTGCTTGAAGGCAGGGCCCAGGCAGGGGGGCTAGCACACACAAGAGTGTACGTGTCCCACTCCTGACCCCCCTCCCCCCGTGTGTGGCTCTCCCCTTCAAATGGGTGACTCCACAGCTTTCTGCACTTTATGGGGGGAGGTGGTGACCAGGGTTTGCTGTGCCTGTGTCTGTGAAAACCGGCATGGAGCAGTATCTTGTCTCCTGCACCCCAGCGTGTGTGAGAAAAAAGAAAACCCCACCCAGGAGCCCCCAAGGGAGTTGTTTCCATGCACTGGGGTTATGGGCAGAATGTGCCAGAATGAAGCCCCTCAGCACCGTGGCTCACGGGGTCGGCAGTTCAAATTCACCAGCTACTCCTTGGAAACTTAACCACCACCACCAACGATTCAGCAGGTGGGGTCTGGTGGGCCTAAGAGTCTGCATTTCTGTCAGGTTCCCGGGGTGGGGGGGTGGGGACAACCACATTTCAGGTTGTTTTAACAGTCACAAAGGAGTCCAGTTAGAATCTGCAGAGCCTGGCCAGTGTGGTGTGTGTGTGTGTGTGGCTGGCAGGCTCAGAACTTCCCTGGAGCAGGAAGGGAACTGGTGGTAACGTCTCAGCAGAGGGGGAGGAGGCTGCAGGGAGACTGGGGGGCAAAAGGAGACAGCTCTCCCCATGAGGGGCACCGCGGCTTACTGCCAACCCTGTGGCCAAGGAGGTCCAGGCCTTATTCAGAAGTCTGCCCACAGACAAAGCCCCTCCACCTTCTCTCTTCTCCCCTCCAGTAGCATAGTGGATTACAAAATGGGCTGCTACCCACAGGGTCACTAGTTCAAATCTACCAGTCACTCCGTGGGAGTAAAATGAGACTTTCTGCTCCCAGATTTACAGCTTCAGAAACCTCGGTGGCACACAACCACCACTCTCCACCAGAGCCCATACACAGGCAAGAAGCGCAAGACGTGGCAGCTCTGTCCACTGCCCACAGGGGGCGATAAACGCTGATCTTCTGAGACCTAGGCCTGGTCCTCTGGGGCCAGAGCTCTGGGCCCTTCAGCCTCCACACTGAGGAAGAGCTTTGCACCTTTGCTCCCTATGCCCTGTGGGTCCCATTCTCAACCATCTGAAGAATGGTCTCATGTTATTATTCAGAACCGTGTAACAACAAGACGTCCAAAGAAGGTGGCCACGGAGAGAGCTGCCATCACGTGGTGTGGTGGGCCGAGTGGGCACTGGAGGGAGGGAGGGGATTTGGATCACCTTGATTCCTTATCTTAGCGTCAGAAATACCCCTCCTTCCAGTGTTGCTGAGGATGAAATGAGAACTAATGGTAGGCAGGGGGCTCAGTCCACCCTCAATAAACAGGGTCCCCAACAAAGGCCTCAGAAAGAAACAGGTGCTCACAAGGTGAGGTCAGAAGTCCGAAGTCAGAAGCCATGGTTTAGGGTAAGAAGAGAATGTATAGAGCCAGCCCCGCCTTCCTCCCTTCAGTACTCCAGCCTAGGACCACCCCCGTCCCTTGTGCTCTGTGCCACGGCCCCAACAGCTAAGAGGGGCTTTCTCAGCCCACTCCATAATGCACCTGACTGGGGCTCCCAGGGTGGCTTCCTCCCGTTGCCTCAGTTTCCTGAGAGGGAGAAGCCTTGCCAAGGAGAATTCCTCTGGCTGGAGGCCAGGTTTACTGCGTGTCACGGGCTCCATTTCTCATTTCAGAGTCCCCAGGTGGTTCATGCGCTCAGCTGCTAACTGGAAAGCTGTCAATGTACTTTTACAAACCTAGCCATTGAAAACCCAATGAGGACACAGTTCTACGGACACACAAGGGGCCTCTGTGAGTCACAGGTGGTGGGAACATGTCCTTGTTAAGTGATGTCAAGTCACTTCCAACTCAGCAACCCTGTATAGGGTTTCCAAGGAGCAGCTGGTGGGTTTGAACCCCCGACCTCGCAGTTAGCAGTCCAGAGCTCATCCTACAGCACCTCAAGTTAAGACTTGATACTTAGTAAGTGCCAGGCATTTTACATGTGTCTCATTTAGTCC